TGGAAGAGGTTTGCTTTCATGCTTTGTTGTGGCTGTCGCGACGACGTTGACTGTCGCATCACAGCATTTCTCAAAAGAAATGCTGCGAAAGATTGACATTTTTCTCTCGCTTGGGATATTTTTCACTTCACGTGACCCATGTCGCTGACGTCAAAAGAAAATACATCTGGTGTATATGCAAAATGCTGCGACGTCTTGTAATATCCTGCATTGTATAGAACAAATATGATGTGACGTTCGCTGACCGCTTCAGAAAGAAATGTAGTCGAGCAGATATCGGCGATGAGTCACTGTGTTGTGATTACACACCACATTTGAGGAGTTCAGCTGTCGCTTGGTGGCGCTGTACCGCAACCTGGTTTCTGGTTGAAAGCGTGACAACGTTGCATAATTGGTCCTTTTGTTTCGAAACGCTGTTGGTCATTTTGTATGGGCCGCCAAAGTTTGCACAAAGGCCATCGCTGGTTTGCAACAACTTTTGCCTCAAACCAGCACGTCTTCAGTATTGGTATGGGAGTCAGCTTCATTCGGTCTTTGTTATTTAGTGTTTTAACACTTCCATGAGATTTATTTTCATTATAAAACTCTGAATTTTAATTTTGGTTTTGTCCTTACGGCCAGCCATAGTTCTGCCAACTAAAACGGCGCTAGTGATTGAGCAAAAGAATGGTCTTTAGACATCCGTAATGTGACCCCTGGTGTTGATTTCTGTGGCTAGTTCCAAGCACCTGTTAGGACCTGAAAGATTGTCACTGGAAGGAGGTTTCCGACGGTATCCACCCTTTGGGTGTGCATCAGACTGGTTCGTGGTTATCAACCCTACAAATTAGTTCGTAGCATCTCGGACAACAACAAAGAAGTTTCCGAAATTTTTGCTGGAAGTTTTAGAAACTAACAACTGGGCTGCATACCACGTTTATATGCATTCAATTATAACTCGCGACATACAGAGCTGCACGCCCGGGGTTTTTCTCGACATGCCGACATGATTGCAAAGGAAAGGAAGCTTATATCGGGGAAAGGCCGTCTACTGGATTCACAGCCGTTTGGCTATTCACACGCACTCGTTCATCGGGGATGCTGGTCTTATCGTTGTTTGAATTTTAGGGTTGGGTTTGCTCTATACGGGTAACCGGTTACTCGTGATTTACTTCAGTAGATTACCCGGTTCCTGCACTACTCGTAAGTGTACACTGCTGATCAACTCCCAGACATTTTTTTAAAATAATATTCTCCACAGCTCCATGTATAGTAAGCTTCCTCCTTATCCCCTGAAGGGTTGGAATCTCTCCGGAGACGGCCAGACCCACCTGCAAAATAACTGAGCAACCCCTTGACAAGCTCGTGGACCTCTTTAATTCGCCATAGCAGTACTACAATTGAACTAATAGAGTAAAATGATTTATACATGAATTAGTCCGAGACTCAGGCCGGCGCGCGTGCACGCACATGCACGTATCGCAGAAGTCTTCGATCCGCCTGGCTTTTTAGTGGTCGTTCATTAACCTGTAATTGGATCCAGCGGTGTCGGCTAATTGTTTAGGTTTTCATATTAATTAGCAGAGGTGACCGCTGTCAGATGCCCTAATCAGGTTTTGATGACCCGTGCCTATGGGTAATTAATTGTATTTGTCATGCACGTCCCAACATAGGAAAAGGTCGCGTGGATTTTTTTTTTGGGGGGGGCGGAGACTTAATAAATATGGACGCAGCAGGAGTACATGCTTGCTTCCCTAACTTAGGCTGAGCTCAAACAAACACGTCACCCGCAAATTGCGTAAAACTGCACCCAAAAAATCATTTAGCCGTACGGGAAGAATTGTTGGCTCGGCAAGGATGTCATTACAGGCTGTCCATAATTATTCATTGCTTCTGATTCAGAACGATCAGGGAGAGAACCGTCGAAGCACCGTCGATTGGCGTAGTCAACTGTGTCAGATTAATCTTGTACTTAGATGATTGCAACGTGTAGATGTTTTAAATCGTAAGCACACAAGCATGTACGCCACAGTGTTGTCACTTCTTCCCGGATAGTCTGCGTGTTTGATTTAATTTATCTGCACTGTAAAAAAGGTTGGTCAATTTTGGGTTGATATTTTTAAACATCAACTTACCAACCTCTGGGCGAATTCTTCTCAATATTTGGTCAATGTTCGACCAATAATGAGGTAGCTTTAACCGAGGTTGGGCAAATAACAAATGCCCAACACTGTTTTGACCAACTTACAGTGTGTCTCTTGAAAATTGCAGCTTTAAGGCGACTTTGCATAATGCACGGTTTTGGGGTGCGTTGCCTACACGATGCGTTCATGTGTTTCACTTTCACGGACACAAATATCGACTCTATTAACATGACGCACGTGTGCGTTGCGTCTGGCCGTCAAAATCGCCCCGGGTGCGATTTTGACGGATGAGCAACGCTTGGCGCAAGTGTTGACGCGCATAAGGAGAGGTGCCTTTAATTCGATTCGTTATGTTTCGTGTCCCAAGTAATGTTCGTTATATTTCCCGTGTTTTGCGATCATTAGATACAAAATACAGAAATGCTGCCGTGAACCGTAATTTAGATCCACTGTCTTTCTGTTTCAAATGGGATGCGATTGAACATCAGAAAGGAGTTAAATTTTTGAAAGACGTTTGTTTCAGAGGCCAGCGTCCCGTTTCTGGAAACAAATGCAATGGGCGGAAAACGTCACCTCAAGAGAAGCAAATTTGTGTCACGAGACACGAACACCATGCTAAACCTGATTTGTAATTTTTCCCGTCGAGCTGAGCTTACCCGTGCCGTCCGCTATAATCTCCAATCACTTTCCGTTCCTCCTGTCCCCGTCCCCCACGTATGCTCACACTCCGTCAATATTTTTCTTGGCCATTTTTGTAATTGAAATCAGAGTCCCCCGTGACCAGAGATAAAAGTGTCGGGATTATGAAGGAGGCGACGAAGAACAAGACGATAAAGGAGTTGAAATCCGCCGATTCTTGTCGCGGACTGACGCTGCCGGTTTCACGGCGTGTCGAACAAGGCGTTCATCTGGGGCGATTACGGTTCAGATTAGCACCGGACGGAGAATTGCTTGAACCTCCCCCCCCGATAATGCCGGCGCGCTTGATGATAGAATTTTTGGGAAATCTTGACGCAAAGTGGCGTTGATTAGGCCTACCCCCCCAAAAAAGTTGTTTTCGGTTACATAACCCAGCTAATAAAAATAACTCCGAACCTTAATAAACTTGTCTTTTTATTCAGGAAATCTGAACAGAATGAGGACTTGTGATGCCAACCATAGAGCCTATTTTTGTGTAATTGGGCTTTCACGCGTGTTTTGGCCCCATCTGTTTCCAAATTCAGACATTTTGAACCTCGTGAATTGGCCCATACGTGTACTGATAAGATTGCTGATAATATGTCACACACCGATGCACTGGTACATTATTATGTTTCAACCTGTCGCATGCTAACTATAAAGCACACAAATTATTATTGATCATTAACCCTGTTGACTTGAAATTTAGAGCCTTTAGTTTGGTCTATACGGGCAATTCACAATAGCGCGCCTCCAAGAGTTTGCAATGCGTTGGCCAATCACAACGCGCGAAATTTGTGGACCCTTTTCAAACGTGCATCGGTCGACAGATTTAAAGTACCGGTAATTGATTGGCCAACGGGTTGCAACCTCTTTGAGGCGCACCACTGTGCATCGCCTGTATTTAATGGGAAACACCTCTCGGATACGCTGGGGCTGTGTTTGTGACGCAGCCGTCTCTGTCTGGTGCCCAGACGACTTGAGTGGAATTTGAGTGGAAGTGGGATTCAGCTGTCAGAGTCGCAAGTCGTGAATTATCGGAATCTATGGGAATTCGTCAATACATGCATGCACTGATTGCTTTCACCATCTTTGCCTTGAAGCACCAGTTTGCTCTTTCAATCTCATGCAGTTTCGGATCTCGTGATCTCTTCATAAAAGCCAGGTGTTTTTCTCAAGTTATAACCCACGTGACCTTTTTGTAGCTTGGACAGTTGTTGAAACGCAGTCGCAGACGTTGTAGCACTATCCCGACACCATAAGCATCTGATATATCCCCCAGACACAAGTGTAAAGTAAATAGCAGTGCATCCCAGACTGTTGCCGACTATCTGCCTCCGTCTCTTTGATTTGTCTCCACGTTGCCTGCCTTCATTACAACCGATTCCAGGCCAATTATATTGGGTTAGTTGTAGTTCAGCACGGCGTGGCACATGCATTCGTGTCAGGGTAATTCCAGAAATTAGGGGTCCAAAAGTGTGACATTTTCGTGTCCCTGTTCCATCTGACCTTTCTTATTTGACATGGAAATATCACCGGAATTGATTTCAAACTATTACTATTTGTTTGGCAGGTAATTTGCATTAATTCACCCCTCTTGGAAATTGGAAAATGTGTTCTGAACTCACAAAAGTCATATGCCAGATGTGACAGGGGCACGAAAAAAAATGGACCCCTAATGTCTGGAATTACCCATTAGAGAAGTAAAACCACAGGGACACTGTGCATTGAACACATGAGCCGATTGGACCTCCAAGAAAATGTTCAGGTATTAGCTCTTATTATCCTGCTCCACAGTTGTTCTTCACAGTGAAGCTAATGACATGTAGTAATTCTAAGTTTAATGTGTTAATTTTATGATGGGGAAAGTTTTATATATGCTGTTGGAGGTCACCCGTCTGCTAAGGCAGCGCTCGGCTTTCTTGGGTGATGTCAAATCCATCGTAAAGTACATTGGCACAAGATATATACCATCTTGATTTACCTGTGTTTATTTCTTAACACAATCAGAGCTGGGGAAAAAACTTCAATTTATGCACCTTAAATCCAAGCCGCGCGTATCAAATGTCAAACATCCTGCAAGCGTTTTCCTAAGTCGTAAGTCAAACGGCCCAAACTTTCAACAGTCTGTCGCCGACAGATTTGTGCGCCGTAAAGTTTTAAGACACTTTGCTTTCGACCTCTTGGCCTCGCATACAGGGTGAAATCTCCATGGTGGATGAGCCGAGGCGAGTCATAGTTCAAGCGGTTCACGAACTCTTTGATCAGGAGGTGACGACGTACTGGGAAGAGGAAGCCACTCGAACCTGCACCGTAGTCTTTATTGGTAAGAACCCGCCAAGTGTCTTTTGATGTGATGTCTGATGGCAAATGAGACCATAGATAGCTAATATTGGTCCAAAAACCTAAAGATAGTTTATGAAGAGAAGCTGTAAAAGACATATTTGCGTCAACTTTCTCGAGTTTGAAAAAAGAAACCATGCCGAAAGATTCCTGGTCCATGGTGAACTCTTTGAACCGTTCAAACTTCACAGACCGGTTTTTACTATAAAACTTTACAAATTTCCCTCTAAAGAAAAGGCAGCTAGTCTGCTGAAATTAATGGCTACATTTCGTCCATACTGTCACAGTATTTGGAAGCCAGTTTCGGGTACACCTAAAATGTTTCTCATCCCGATAACGATTTTTATTTCAATAAACAATAGACAGTTATTTGTTGTGTGTGGCTGGAAATACGCACATTGTGCAATTTACCTCAATCTGAATTCATTGAAATGTTTTCGAATCAATCCCTTTACGTCACACTCAGGACCTTCAATCACAGGAACCTGAAAGAGATTTACCGTATAGACTGCGTTATTGTGTCTGATGTCGCAATCTTGTCCATGTGCACTGTTTCACTACGCACGCATCTTTTTGTTATGGCATACGCGTGTACGACACACAACTCGAATGCAAGAGATGCACGGTTTATGTAGAGATATAACGCGTACGTACGCCGTAATACGTACATACGGGTTCACAGAAGTGCGTTGAAAAAATACGAGCATTTCACAATAGTGCGACTCCAAGTTTGCAACGCGTTGACCAATCACAGTGCGCGTTGGGAAAGAGTCAACAGATTTTGCGCGTTGTGATTGGTCAACACGTTGCAAACTCTTGGAGGCGCACTATTGTGAATCGCCAGTATTGATTTACAATGGTATGCTTCATAACGCGCGTTTTCTCACAACCTTCCACAGCCTGCAAGAACTCGAAGTACTTCGCAACTACGAGCTTTCTAAAATCGACCACAGATTCCCATGGAAACTAACCAAGCTAAATAATACCCCAGTATTCTCTGAAAGGAGAAGTTTGCAACTAGTCTCGCAATCGGGTGTGCTTGTTTTATATATTTGGCACTCAGGAAACCAGTTGAAACGAAAGTGTTCGCTGTATTTTGCAGAGAAAATATATAACTTTGGTTTCCTTACCTCGGAGAGTGCCGTATTGCTATATTTGGACTGTTAGTATTTTTAATCTTCGTTTTGGTTTCTCATTGCGAAGACTGTCCTCAGTGAGGCTGTGTTTTGGTCGAAGCTCTTTAAAGCCTCAAGTATAAGAACGATTGGAGTTTGGCTAGCAGTTAGGGTTGTCGTTTGGTTTCTTGCCTATTGACAAAATGTCTCTTAAAATAGAGCGGCCTCTACTAGTAATTCGGCGGCCTGAAACCCGCGACGGCGTGATAATGCAAGGGTTTTGCGTGCAGCGAAGCTGATTGCGTGCTTTTATGTGCGGCAGAACCAAGTGTTTTCTAGCACTCGGCACGTATAGTAAAACTTCACTTGAAACGGACGGATGGGCGGTGTTCACAGTGTGAAATTGAAGCATAGTGCGAATCATCCTACTGATTGCCTCGTGGGAAAGCGAATGACTTTCGCGCAGGATCAAACGGAGACACTCACACCAATCCCAAAAATCACAATTCTGATATCGGAGGGGGAAATATCCGCACAAGCGGAGCGCACACTTATCCTTTGGAGCAATATTATTGTAAATTTGTAACATCCATGTCTTTGTTCTGTAATCCTAAACCCTTTCTCCAATCCGCTCAGACCGCGGTTTCGCGGATGCCCGGTCCGCGTTTGCCAACAAAGTCCCGCCGCGCGCCCGTGAGTACGCGCCCGTGGATTGACTCCCCCTCCCCCCCCCCGAACACTGTTTTTATTGCAGATTGAGCGCGATTTGCGGGAGGGTTAAACTCCAGTGTCAACAATTTTCCATCGGCGAGTAATCATCCTCCCTGCTTCCAACAATAATGATACTGCGGGAAGAGCTTGTCCCTCCAAGATCGTGAATTTTTGCGTTAAAGGGAGTTTCTTGGGTCGACTCGGGCTCGGCCACACATGTAGTATAGTAGGGTATAAATACAATTAAATTGTAGTTGGAACGCCCTCCAGTGACCCGTGGGATTTTTAAGAAACTCTTGTCCGGGATCAGTCTGGATACCAGACCCGATGATTGTGACAACTCTACGATTCAAGTGTCTGGTATCACCCAATGTCCGGAAATAGCCGAAATATTCTGAAGTCGTCCTATCTATATTCAGTATGTTCGGATGGTACCGTTAATGTTCGGTTATTCCCGACCGGGTAGGTAGGCTTGCTGTTGAACGTAAATTCCCATATCCTAAAGGCAGCTGTTGATCCTACAATATTTGACTTTACACTGAAATCGAAGGTCTCCTCGGTAATCTCCCTAGAGGAGAATCTGGGAAGAATCAGGACCTGACGACGACTGGCGAATGCCCACACATACAGGGTGCACAGCTGTAATGAAATCAAAATCACCTGGGCTCTAAACTTGTGACCCCTGACCCCTGCGTCATTTCTAATTATATCCATGGGTGATGCCTGACCTAAAAATCTTCAGGGAATCTTTGGGCAGGGAACCAGACTAGCCTGGGATTCGTTATGTTCAAACTCATGGTGGCAGCAGACTGCCGCCTACTGTGTTTTTAATTGTCGAGCCGTTTTGGGACTTCACTGGGAATACTATTTACAATTGAAAAAGAGGTTTATATTCAAGTAGGCCGATAATGATAAAAGTATATAAGTATAAACTGTATAATATGAAATCTTAATCAACTTTAAATAATGTAAGTCAACTTTCCTGGTATGGTTTTCATATCTTAAATGAACTCTTCGTTTTTGTTCTTTAGAATGCCCATGCAACATTCGGATTCGTACGTAAGATGCAATTTAGTACGTACGCGATTTACCCTTAGTTTGTCACGTTGTGGTGTTCAATGAAAAGATTGCTGTTCGGTATCCTAAGCTTCTGCTTTCCGTTCCACCGTCCAGAAAGGGATTACAAAGACAGATTTGTAGATTTGACTTTGCCGTTGAAACTAGAGAAGCTTTCCCGTCTGGTGCATGTTGCCATATAGAAAACGAGGAAGAAGAAGAAAAGGGGGAAAAAACTAGAACTCATTACATCAACAAGTGCTTTCCAGGTACGGGTTCACTGCCAGATAGAAAGACGGCGTGTTGCGAAGAAGAAGCACATGATAAATGCATGCACATAGGATTGGACACCAAATACCCAAAGAAATGAAATACCTGTTAGGACTTGACCTTAAGACAAGTACTTTTGAAATACCTAAGTGTAACTCTATGGTTAACCTTAATGTGCATATGTCCAGAACGCCAAGTTTTATTGTGTCACTTCTTCACTACCTGATTTGTGTGTGTGTACATGAGTTTGTTTCTGCATTCAACT